GACTTCCCCAAGAACACTTATTTTCTTCTAGCTCCCTCCATTGAATTTCTCTTGTCCTTATATCACTGCTCAAGTAAACAAATACCACTTTAAGAAAAGGATCTTCTGGCTTGAGCCTGAATTCTACTTGCATACAATAAGACTGGCACTTAATCTGCTTGACTTCAACCTTATTACTCCAGACTAGCATTAAACCACCACATTGACCCATAGGCTCCATCAACTTACACCTATCCATAAAACCTAATTTCTTACAAACAGTAAAAGAGAAAATATTTGGATTTTTTCATTTCTGATTAAAAGAAAAAATGGGAATTGTGGGTCTAAGGGACTCCCTGTGCTAGGATACTGTAGAGGGCTCACCCAGACCTCTATAGTTCCACACTACTGCTTTCATTTATCACCCCGAGGCCATTTCAGGCTGGCCTTCTCCACCTTATATGTATGAATCTTGTATTTTTTTCCCTCTACTTTCTCAGACATTGAATGATCCTCAACAATTGTTAGGATAGCTGAGACTAGCCTTCTTTTCTTAACCCCTTGAGTTGGTTCCAATATTCCTTCAACCGAATTTTTTTGTAGTCTACCTTCTTTTGAAGTAGCCGTCTTTCATGTTTTCATAATGGACTGATGGTGATCCCTAGGAATTCTTTTAGCAACTTCTGACCTTAAAATGATTGTTCCTCGTGTGCTACACTCTTCGTTCTCCATTCCAGATTCTTTGACTTGTTCTACTTCCAATATGTTTATCCTCCCCTCATAGTCCAGGCTAATAAGAGGAACATGTCTCATCGCCCTCGGACTAGGTATAACAAAAGCTTGCTTTGAAGAGATAGATTCCACTATGCTTAGGTTTTTCTGAGTTTGAATATGCATATGATTCTCAAGCCTCATGCTCCGCATCAATTTGTTAACTCTGAAACTTCTATATTCATGAGCATTCCGAATTTTTGGTAAGTCTGAGTTAATCTCCAGAGATTTCTCAATTGATTTTTTGTGCTTCCCTGAGTTACTCCCACCTCTACCCTCTCAAAACCTTCATCCACTCACCATACTGGCCTTCTTTGATCTCTCCCTTAGCAATGTCCCCCAGTCTACAATGGTAGTCTCTGTCAGGGTGCCCTACCTTCCCATAGTAACAGAAAAGATTGACAAGTCTCTCATACTTAAAACTGACGGTTGTGATATGTTCCCCCAATCTGATAGTAGCACATTTGGGTAATGCTTCCTTTATATCTACACTAACCAAAAGTCGAATAATTCTTCCTCCACTGCCCCCCACATTCACAACTCCTCATTTTTCACTCCTCTAAAAACTCTTCCAACTTTCAGCCCTACTTCTGAACACATCCATTCTAAAGGGACATTGAAGATGTGAACCGGAAGATCTTCTTTTTATTTTTTTTCTCAAACGATAGAATTTCTCATAAATAAGAACAAACAACATACAAGGTTTGAAGGTCTACAACATAACAAAACCGCAAGAACCAATCATAACCGAATAAACTACAGCAGGGAGATGAGAGAACCACACCAATGGTGGCCTAGAACCCAACTAAACAAACAAGACCCAGACTAACAACACAACACTTGGATTAAGGCAGTCACAAGACTGGGACCTTGCCTCCAAAATCAGCAGGAAAAAAGAAAAGGAAAAATAAAAAACAAAATAATAAAAATAAAAAGAGCAGGTCAAGGCCTGGTCAATCTACTTGGCTTGAAGGAAAGTCAATCCTGCTGGGCTGCCTTGACAATGAATTGCGCAGACCTTATGATTTTCTGAAACAACCACAAATTACGCGTTTTCCAAAGCCACCAGAGTATACAGGTCGATAATTGAATTCTTGCCTCTAATGTCTCTGACTTTTCCAATTGGTAAATGGACCACCACCAATTTTGAAATGATGCACCACCTTGAGGCCTTTCCCATTGCACTGGGATAGTTTCCAGACCAGTTTAGCAAGGGAGCAATGAAAGAACAAGTGCTCGACCGTCTCAATGTCTTCGCCACAAGTTCCCCAGATTCCTTCTACTGCAATACCTCTAGCCAACAAATTCTGCTTCACATGGAGAGTGCCATTACAACATTTCCAAATAAAGTGTTTGAGTTTGCCCATTACCTGCATTTTCCAGCTTCTGTTCCTAACTTTGATGTCTCTAGCCATGTCTCCACTTCCTTGGACCTGCCCACTTGAGGACTTTGTCTGCAATAAGATCACCATAGGCAGATTGAACAGAAAAAATGCATTCGTTGTGAAGTTTTCAGGTCCACCTATCAGCAAGGTTAGGGTGGAGGGTTTTGATGGCCATAATCAAATCACATAAGTGAGGAGGGAAGTCCTCTTAAGCTTGCCAACATCCTAGTGCCAGCCATCTGATGTCATAAGATCTTTAACCCAAACAGAGTTTTTGTTAATTCCTGGCAACAGATCCACAGGCTTCCCTATAAGTGTTGGCACCAAGTGCTGATCCCAGATTCTAGTGCAAGTGCCATTTCTGATCTCAATCTGCAGCCACTTGGATATAGTCTGCAAAATGGAATGCCAACTTATCCAAATCCAAGAAGAGCTTTGATGTAACTGTGCCTCAAAGATAGAAGAGTTAGGATAATATTTAGATTTAAGCACCCTACTCACCAAAGACTCTGGCACTGTAAGAAGTCTCCAAATCTGTTTGGCAATAGGAGTTGTGTTGAAAAGCTGAATATCTTGAAAGCCAAGGCCCCCATACTGCTTAGCCATTGTCAGTTTACTCCAAGCCATCTAAGGAAACCCTTTGATCTGTTCAGTGCCCTTACTCCACCAAAAATTCCCACAAACCCTAGAGATCTCCTTGCACAGAGTAGCAGGCAACACAAAACAAGACATAGCAAACACATGAAAGGCACTAAGTACAACTTTAATGAGAATCTCCTTACCTGCCGTAGAAAGACACTTATTCTTCCAGTTACAAACTCTTGACCTGACCACAGAAAGGATGTAGTCAAATGGTTCTCTCTTTGATCTCCCAATTCCCTTTGGGAGTCCTAGATACCTGGTAGATGAATGCACTTGTATACCATAGAGTAAATAGCAGCATCTGGCTTTGAGTTCAAGTGGTGTGTTCCTACTAAAAAAAAATTGAAGATTTGGACATGTTCACCTGTTGTCCTGTGAAATAATGATAGGCTTGGAGAATACTCAGGATTTTGGTGGCCTGGTGCTCATCAGCTCTGCAAAACAGCAGTGTGTCATCAGCAAACAACAGGTGGGTCAGAGTGGGCCCCTCTCTAGATAGTCTGACCCCTTTGTAACTGCCTTTGTCTGCTGCATCCTTAATCTTGGCTGACAATAACTCAGAAATGATGATAAAAAGGTAGGGGGATAGAGGATCCCCCTGCCTTATTCCTCTGGAAGCAGTAACAAGGCCACAAGGTTTTCCATTTAGATTAAAAGAAAATGTGGGAAATTGAATGCATGCCATAATCCATTTAACATATAAAGCACTGAAACCCATCCTTAACATTGTCAACTGCACAGATTTCCACTCCAAACTATCAAAAGCTTTCATCATGTCAAGCTTTAATGCCATA